CGGGTTTCTCCTCAGGGGGAGAGCAATGCGAGTTAGGATTTGGGTCACTTTCTTCAGGGGGAGAGCAGTGCGAGTCGGGATTTGGGTCACTTTCTTCAGGGGGAGCGCAGTGAGGGTAGGGTTCATACTTTTGGGGCTGTTCCCTTACCTATTCCGTTGGGTGATGAGGGCTACCATAGTGAGGGTGGTTAGAGGGATCAGGAGTTGAGGGTCTATCACAGGCGATGTAGGCAGGTTGATCCCGGTCATCAACAGTCCAGGCCAGGTCCAATCTCTTCTACGGCTCCAAGTCCAGGTATTACAGTCCCAGGGCCCACAGAGACTTCTTCCACTGTTGTCACTTCACCTCCTCCATATGACCTTGGCCTTCCCATTGCCGTCCGTAAGGGGAAACGGCATTGTACCACATCTACAACCCACTGTATTTCCCAGTTTTTATCCTATGATCACCTATCTCCCACCTACAGGTCCTATCTTACTTCCATTGCCAATGTCCCTATTCCAAGAAYAGTGCAAGAAGCCCTATCCGTCCCAGAGTGGAAAGATGCAGTGCAGGGTTAAATGGATGCCCTATTAAAAAATAACACCTGGGAGCTAGTTGATCTGCCCAAAGGAAAGAAACCAATTGGTTGCAGATGGGTATTTACTGTGAAGTACAATGCAGACGGCTCCATTGAGAGGTATAAAGCTCGGCTAGTTGCAAAAGGGTTCACCCAGACTTATGGTATAGATTACTTGGAGACTTTTGCCCCGGTAGCCAAGATGACCACCATTCGAGTTCTATTATCTCTTGCAGCAAGCCACACTTGGTCTTTGTACCAAATGGACGTTAAAAATGCTTTTCTGAATGGAGACCTGCAGGAAGAGGTTTACATGCGGTTGCCTCCTGGATTCTATGATACAGAGACAGGTAAGAAGGTCTGTCGGCTCAATAAGGCATTGTACGGTTTGAAACAGTCACTTAAAGCTTGGTTCGATAGATTCAGACTAGGCCTTGGGAAGTTCGGTTATGTACAGGCCCAGTCAGATTATACCCTATTCATCAAGAGGGTGGAGTCTTCTCTGACACTACTTGCAGTATACGTTGATGATATTGTGGTGACAGGAAATGATAGCCATGAGATTGAGTCCCTCAAACAGCTCCTTCATCAAGAGTTTGAGGTGAAAGATCTTGGTGCACT